GGGGGTTCTAAATCCCATTTCTCAGGTATCTTTTCATTTACCAAATCCCAGTTTCAACTGTTATATTGTCGAGTCAACAACCTTGCTGCATGGGCTAGTAACAAATCGTTGACATTAACAAGTTGGAACAAGCAGTGCGAACACAGCCTTGCTGCAAAAGATGCAAGATTTACTTTACTCAAAAATTAAAAGGAGTAAATTGCTCATAAATTAAAGTCAAAATTTCTTCGCAGTGCTGATAACAAGTTGTTGAAACAGCATTGGTACAAGTCTGCTGTAGGTTTGTTACAAGTTGTGCATTTTCGTGCGTGTAGCTATGACTATGAGTAGCTTTCTCTTGCAGATATGAGCGATTTCCTTACTAATCTTGACATCGTCTTATTCTCTTACTAGACGCTATTCTTCAGAGGATCTCATTGTTCACAAGATACTGTTGTTACCGGATACTGTCATGTTCTGCGATAGAGCTTACAGTACCATTAGCTTTACCAGGAACGTGGTTGTCTGTTATACCATTAGGAGTATCCCTGCCCCTCTCATCAGAACTACGCTCAGAGTTACTTCGCAAATGTTGCGAACCAAACGCACTGTCGTTCTCTTTCAATCGTCTATGGTGCGCTTTTCGCGCCATTTCTAGAAGTTTCTCAGAGCCTTTCCCACCAACTTCCTGCACCAGCTCGGAAAATCTGGAGGATTTCTTTTGAAGAAGCTCGTAAGGTTCATCGAATTCCACCAATCTTCCTTCGTGTAACACCTAGTAGAGAACAATTTATAAGCGCAAATGAAAATTTGCAAATAATATACCATTAAAATGGAAAACGTTAGATTTGGGTCTCCCGGGATTTAAGGAAACAAGGCTCTGGGAACAAGGGGGAAAGGCATATTTTGTAATGGGAATATGAGAACAAAGCCAAAATATAGTAGGGAGCAAGGGAACATGTAAACTGGGAAACAAGGGAACATGGTGGAATCTTTGTGGGGAAGGGAACAAAGAAAAAAGGAACACACACCCTCTCCCTTCCCCTCCCCGTGGTTACATCATGATGCTACTTTATAAATTGAAGAACAAAGGGAAAAAGGTTAAATCTCCAAGGGAACACATCGACCTCGCCCCCCGCTCCCCCGCGCCTTAGAATTCATCTTAGTTAAATTACAAGAACCTACCAAGTTCTGCTTTTCTAATCTGTTGTCATTTACTGTAATTTGTTCGGTATTACTGTAGCGGTTACCGAATTACGGAGAAATACGGCGATAAAATTTAAATTTAGCAACTTTGTGTGTTAACACAGTCAATGCATCCTCTGTTACAAATTATCTCAAACTAAATGGTAACCATTACGGTAAAACAGAAAAAATACAGAAAATGACAACTTCAGTTAGCATGGCATTTTGGCAAAACGATAGTTCTATAAATGGGCTTACAACCAACATAGATACAGAGGCATCTGGAAAATTTATGTTGACGTGTCGAAATAAAGTTTTTCTTAAAATTTTAAAAATATATATGAAATTTCAAGTTCTCACTTAGCTATAGTAACTATAACCTACATCATCAGAAATATGGCAAAACACTATACATAAGACATTTAAGCGGTTTACTTGTTTCCCTCTCCAGTTTTGAGTATACATGACGTTTAATTAAAGCCCCATTTACACTACGCTCAATTTTTGGTACGGCATGGATAAAATGGTACCCGTACCACTTTTCTGGTTCTTGAACTACCTATTTAGGTAGTCCAAGAACCAAAAAAGTGGTACGCTACCAAAAATCAAGCGTAGTGTAAACGGGGCTTAAATCTGCTCAAAACAGCATTTTTGGCAATTGTGAAGCATTTTTCACTTTTTGGAGCAGTAATAACTCGAAAGGGACTCAGACAATTAACATAACTGCTTAAATATCTCATATAGTTTTTTGCAAGCTTTCTATAATGATGTAGGTTATATTTGCCGAGCTCTAGCTATTAGCCAATTGCTGAGCTCTAACCACAAGTCCCTGTATATATACATATAGGGTACTGCCCAAGGCCTTGGAAGCGGGGGGGAGGCTGGAACCCCCCCCCCCCAATAATCTCCATTTGTACAAGCAACACACAAAAAAACTAGAAATGTGCGAAAGCAATTCAAATTTAT